CACATACTTTTTAAAAACCATTAAGTGACTAACTTATGATCTTAATTTTCTAAAATATGAAGATGAGAGAGTACCATAAACGCAAAAGTACGAAGACATAATCACTTTGCATTCTAGCATATTGCTGTGGGTGACATTGTGGTAGAGTGACATTAAAGCCACTTAATACCCAGCTCAGTGTGTTGGTGCATGCGGTAGTATCAGCTACTCCAGAGGCTGAAGAAGGAGAATCACTGGAGCCCAGAAGTTCAAGACCATCCAGGACAACACACACACACACACACACACACACACACACACACACAGAAATAAGCAACCCACTTAACAAAAAATTACTTTTGTAATAAAACTAAAATAAAATTTACAGCAACAAAACTTACTTCAACAGAACTAAAGTCAAACCAGTGATGATCTACTTGCATCCTTAATGGGACTTCTGGGGCTTTTTCTCTTCTCTGGAAAGAGACTTGTGTGACACTATATGAGAGCATAAATTACCTGTGATGGGTGATGTCTACACTCAATGTACTTTAAAGCCAAAATTCTATAGTTCTAAACAGGATAATAGGGATGGCAGACTTAATTAGGTACACTTCTAATTTTATCTCCAGATTTTAAAGGCCTAGAGTTGAACTGTGCACACAAGAAATTTCCTATGACATAACCGACAACTACCTTGCTTCTGAGAGACCAGGGTGCTCCCAAAGGAAGCACACAAAGGGGTGAAATCATTAGGGGTCATCTACATTCCATATACAGGAAACAGTCCACACAAAACCGGCAGAGAAGACCTTATAGGAAGAATGAAAGATTGCTCAGGCTTGAACACTGCTGAGGGCATTAAAACCAGTGCATTACATGGCTGTATATGGCAAGAACCACAAAAACTTTTAAACCTTTGGTAGGGTCATACTACTTCTAAGAGTCCATCATAAGGTACCACTGCTAAAACTATTACTAAGTTAGTTCAACAACTCGGTGAAATGCTCTCTAGTTTTTTAATAAAAGGGATAGGAAACATAGAAACAACAACAAAGTATGCTTACAGTAGAAAGCACATTGAAAATGTATAAATCGTATTACAACTGCACTATGGAAAGAAAGAAAAATGTACAAAGAAGTGATATTAGTCTTCACAGAATAAAGCGTTTAGTTCCCATGGAGATCTTGGAATTATTACAAGAAGCCTATGACTCCACAAGCACGGGTGTGTCTTCCCAGACAACAAGCACTAAGAAGTACAATTACTCTGTGACAGCACATCATTATTACATTTAAAAAATGGGAACAATGTCCTAAAGCTTAGAACAAAGTAAGAAGAGCTACTCTTAACCCTCCTTTCAACACTACATGGAAGACTGTGGCCACTACATTAGGCAAGAAAAAGAAATAATAAGCATTAACATTAAGAGGGAAGTAAAATTTTATTTACTGATGGCATAACTGCCTGGATAGAAATATTTAAGGGATCTTTAAACACTGACTCCAGCAAGTAAATTTAGCAAGCCTGTAAGATAGAGATTATTATACAAAAGTCAATTACATTTTTATATACTAGTAAGAAACAAGTAGCCACAAAAATTCCATTTATAATAGTGTTGAAAACTACAGTATGCTTAGTAAAACACCTGTAAGAACTGTATCCTGAAAATGAAAGCACTGCTTAGAGAAATAAAAAAAGACCTACATAAATGGGGAGATAAAGTCAATAGACCAACAGGACTCAATATTAAGATATTAACTGTCCCTAAGTTTATCTACAGACTCAATACAATCTCAGTCACAATCCTCTTTACTCAAAGTGGAAATGCAAAAGCTGATACTCAAATTTACAAACTGCGCGCTAATCATTTAGAATATACAAAGCAGTCTTTAAAAATAACAAAACTGGGATTTTTGTTATTTAATCTCAGCAGATTAAAGCGCCTGCTTAGGCACCCCCAGGGACTGGGGTTTGATCCCTGGCACCATGCTGGCCCTGCCCCCGGGGTGCTCTGAGATGGTGACTGAGACTGGGCATGGTGGCCCACCTGTAATCCCAGCGTTTGGGAGGCTGAAAACAAACTATGAGTCCAATCTGTGTAGTGAGACCTTGTAGACCCTGTACTAAACACATTAAAAAAACAAAAACAAAAAAATTGGAGGACCTTATGCTATCTAACTTCAAAACTTAACGGGAACTACAGTAATTATGAGACTGTGATACAGGCAATAAGGACTGAAAAATAGAGCAATGAAGGTTGGGAGTGTAGCTTAGTGGCACAGTGCTTGCCTAGGACGGGTTCAATTCCTAGTACTACCAAAAAGAAAATGAGTTGGAAACAAATCAATGAAACAGAATACAGAGAAACAGATTCAGATTTACACAACTAAATCTGATTAGTTGTGCTCAGCTACATGTGATTTGTAACAAAGATACTAAAGCAGAAAGTAAAGCAAAGATGTTTGTTTTTGATTTTTGTTTTATAAACATATGTTAGAAAGCAGAATGTTCATGATGGAGCAATAAAATGAACCTGGACTCCTACTTCAAAAGAGACACAAAAAAGAATTTCAAATGTATGTCAGATGTAATCAGATGTATATCACAGACCCAACTCTCAAACTTGAAACCATAAACCTTTTAGAGAAAAAGTATTGAAGAATATATCATGACTTGAGATAGCACTGACTTTGATGAAAATGGAAAGCAAAACAGAGCAAAAAAAGAGATAAATTAGATATCATCACGATTTAAAGCTTCTGTTCACCAAAAGACACCATTAAAAAACAGGTAAGCCACAAACTGGGAGAAACTATTTCTGAAACATATTTGACAACAAACTTTGTATTTATAAGTACATTTAAAACACTTGTAAAATTTATTATAAAAAAGCAAACAAGTCAATCAGAAAAAGTCCAAGTTATACGAACAGATATTATATAAAAGAAGATCTACAAATGACTAGTATATGAGAAAGTTAACAATGCCATAAAGGAAATGCAAATTAAAACTGTAAAAATACTACTATACACCATGGGAATGGTTAAAATAAAAACAATGGATGGAAGTGTAAAATATATAATAGTACAAACAAAGTTTCTGAGAAAATGTCATATTCATCCTATGATCAGCAACTTTTATCTTTTGTTCGGGTTTTTTTTTGCGGTACTAGGGATCAAACTCGAGACCTTGTGCTTGCTAGGCAGGCACTTATGCCACTGAGCTGTCTCCCCAGCCCAGCAATTTCTTTACTAGGTATTTTTCTAAGATAAATGAAACTCAATGTAATAGTAACACAAACTGAACAGTAACACAAAACTGCCAGTGAATGAATGTTTTAGCAGATTTTTCTCATAAAAGCCAAAAATCCGAAAATAGCCAAGGTTCTATGCAATACTAAGAAATTCTACTTGGGCTTCATCTTGTTTCCCAGTAAAAGCTCTCAAAGTCGTCATCTCCAGATAGGAGTGTCTTTTGTACGCTAATGAGGTGACTGGCGGATTGGAGCCTCCACAGAGCTTCAAGATAGTGGCTGGTCACCAGAAAAGCCAACTGTGATTTAAGAGTTGAAATTTTCAGCCCCATACCTCTAACTGATCACTAACAGCCAATGATATAATATCACGCATCCAAAAACAAACAAAACCCTGCACAAATCACTGAACCACAGTTAGTTGTGTACATGCTAAAGAATTTAGGAAAGTACAATGATATCTGTAATTTTCTTTGAAATTGCAAAAATAAAGATAAACTGATGGACAAATCGGATATGTACATGGAAAACAGGTGCAGCAAAATATTAATAACATCTAGATGTACATAAAAAGGAACTTACTGTAGATTGTTTTTTATTTTTTCTGTATTTTAATTTTTCTCATAATAAAATGTTGAGAAAAAAGGGAGACCATGTTTTATTTTAAAGATAATAAAAAATAAAAGCTAAGACATTAGAAACTAATACACAACTTCAAAACAAAACAACACAATAGGTATTCAACAGTGGTTGTTATGCTGCACACTGTTGTCATCTCGGTATTTGCTCAGATCACCAGAGAAAAGCATGGAAAACTGGGCTAAGTAAAAATTTTAAGCATTAACTGCCACCTTCAAAAGACCAACAGAAGTTAGTAATACGATCATCCCAGCTATCCTGTGTGTATACATACATGATTTCTCCTCTTCCTTTTCTTCATTTCCTCATTCCAACTGTTTATTCCTTTTGCTCAGTTTCTGAGATCAATGTTTTGATATTAGTAAATATTATTTTTTACTTTTTTCCCCCATTTTCTAAGGTCTCTTAATATGGAATGCCTTTATAACTTTAAACATTTTAAAGCAAATATAAACAACTTCAAAAAAACTTAAATATCTTATTTTGTATTTCACAAAAATTAAGCTACTCATATTTTAAAATGTTTGACATGTAATTCAGGAAGAATTTAACAAAATCTTGATTATGTAGCAAATCACTGGTTTTGAAAGAATTACAAATTTAAAGCTAATTAAGTGTGTTATTAAAATGTTTTTGCTTTAATGGCTTACACTACACTCTCCTTGTACTGAAAAGCCCCCCTGTATCATTCTATGTAAATGTGTGCTTCCTAAAAGTACATTACTGTCCAGATTCCCTAAGAACCCATCCAGACAGTACTAGGAAATTGGCTGTTCACTTTCAAATGGGCTTTATCTTTCAGAAAGCACGAGCTTGTGCCAGGTGCTAGTCAATGGTATCTTGTTAATTTCCAAAACAAACAGAGGAGAGCGCCATGCAATTTCCATTACACACACTTCACTATTAGAACCTGGGTTTACTAGCTTGACACAGCTCCAGGAATAATGGTTTCATTCCTCACTGAAATAAAATAATGTGTCACATAACTCAGCAATGCGGAATTTCTAAAAAATGTTGTCATGTTAAACACGGTCATATTTTTCAGTCTCCATTATGCCAAAACAAAAGCCATTTGCTGTAACCTACCCTGGGCATGGAGAATTCTCGCATGGGTCTCAGACTTACCTCATTGCTATGTCATATGATTCCGGATGAATACAAGTCTGGTCCAAAGGATTTGGCTTCAGTGTAGCATCCCCTACGGTTTTGCTCTTCTTTTTGCCCTGCTTCTCATTTGTGACTTCAACACCTGCTGAAGATGTCACAGCAACTCCTTGAATGTGGCTTGAAGAGTCAGTTTGCTGACTACTATAATCATTTTAAAACCAGGATAAAGAAAAAACAATCTTAAAAAGGAGGTTGGGCAGAAAAGAAATATACAGAAACAACAACCATTCAGTTCATAGAGACAACCATTTATTTATTCAAACCACTGTTAACTGGACTGTTACTTAAAGCCAAAAAAGTCTTTACTGATTCAGTCTGTGTAATAGTCACTCTAGGAGAGATGAGAGGAAAATGGAGGAGAGGAGGAGGAAGAGGAAGAGAAAGTAGGGGAAAGAGCAAGGAGAACATAGGGAAAGGAGGGAGAAGGGGAAGATTATTTCTCTAGGGTAAGAGAGCTGATGAAAAACCCAAGTTATCAAAAGAACTTAACTAAGTGCAGAATAAAATGAATGAGAAAAGGCTCACGGGTAACTTATCATGGTGCACTTTAGAGTGGAAATACCTTTTACAAACCCCAAAAGGTTCTCAAGAGACTCGAACAGATTACTACAAAAGGAAATTAAATCAGACTGGTATCTATTGGCAAAGAACAAACATCAGAACAATATCTCAAAAGTTCTGAGAGGAAATGACTCTGAATCTAAATCTCATATATGTAGCTAAAGTAGCATTAATTTAGGAGGGCAAATTTAAATGTGTCACTATACCTGTTCTCTAGAAAGAATTCAAGAATAAACTGCAGAAAAAATACAACGATAATTACAATATGGACTACACAGTGACAAGCACCAAAACCATTCAAAGGTATTATGTTAAAACACTGAAAGGGGTACTTAAAAAGGATTAAGATGCAATATGTATATGTGCCAACTCACCATTATGTACCAGAAATGTACTAATAAATAATAAATGAACAGCTGTTTAATTTCTTCTCTCTCTCTCTCTCTCTCTCTCTCACACACACACACACACACACACACACACACACACACACATCTGAAACATACACATACCTACATAAAAATCTAAAAATCCCAGGTCATCTCATGGTACAAAGATGAAGAAAGGAAGGCTGGGAAGAGTCCAAAGTCTCAAATCTTATCTGCCAGGATAGACACTTATTAACTCTAGCTCTAGAGGTGACATCAAGGCAAAATTAAGGACAACCATTAGAAGAATAGAAGACGTCCAACTTTGAAATCACCAAAGAGGTTTAAGGTGTAATGGGAAAACAAGAAAACCTGGCAAGTGATAAATCTAGCCAACAACAAAAATAAAAATCGGAAAGCATCACAGAAAATATTTAAGACAGTCCAATCAATATATACACTAAATATAAATATTAAAATTAGATTAAGTAAAATAATAATATCCAGCTATGTTTATAACAGACGTTAATAAAAATTAAACATCATAGAAAGTATAAAAACAAAAAAAAATGCAAGCATACTCTGAAAAGGCAAATACTGCAATAATATTAGTAATCAAAATAAATTTAAAGGCAAGATCAATAAATGAGAGCATAGTTTATAAAAGTATGAATTATCAAGATATAATAGTCATGAATCTTTAAGTATCTGAATATCTAAAAATATATTTTAAAATAATCACAATGTCAGTAGATACTGATTACATTAAATTATGGCTTATTCATATAATTACTATGCAGACATTAAAAAGAATAATAAAGAGTAAAAATCTCTATGTAAGAATTTGGAGAGTCAATATAAAAGTGTTAAAATTCCAAATAGTTGTAAAACATAATCTCTCCTGTGTGCTTTTAAAAAATAATAAATATTATACTCCAAGGTGACAAATGCATATTTACTTTCTGGACATAACATGTAAGCAAATGTTATGAAACTTAGGCACTTTTTACTGTTTGAATTTTCTAACCAAGTATTCAAAAAATACATAAATTAGGGGCTGGGGAGATGGCTCAGTGGAATAAGCGCTTCCCTGGCAAGTGCAAGGGCCTGAGTTCAATCCCCGGCTCTGCAAAGCAAAAATAATAATAATAATAATAATAATAATAATAATAATAATAATAAAATAAACTGATAAACACAGGGTTGCCTTATCCTCATTTTTCCCCCATTTTTAGTTTCTGGTTTTGTAATCTACTTGGAAATAATTTTTACCACTCCACTGTTTGTAACACTTTCTCATGTCTTTTTTTTACACTTTTGGTTTTACTTTATGTCTATGATCCATTTGAAATTTATGAGCATAAGGACTGAGATGATCTGTCGCATCCTTCACATGTATCAAATGCCTAGCAATTCTCAAACACTATTTATTGGATAATTATTAATTGAAGTGTAGCCTTTTATCAAAAATTAAATTAAAAAAATTAAATTCCAACTATGTGATGGTGGATCTCAGACACTATTCTAGATTATTCTATATCAACACTGAACTGTTTAATTACTATGTCTGCTATTAAGCTTTACAATGCACTATACTATCTTAGGAGACTAGTTTTCCCTTACTTTACTCTTTTCCAGAATAAGAATATTGTTTCATATGACCTTTATTATTTTGTCAAAAGAAAAAATATCAATGACTCAGGTAGTCTCAAAGTAGCAAATACATATATGCTCTTCTTTCAGGATTACAAAATGCTAATAAGTTTATCTAGTTTCTCTGCTTTTGTGCTATGAGGACCTGAACATTAAGAATGTAGCTCTTTTATCTATGGGCTGATAATTTATGCTAAAGGGAACAGTGACATCAGTATGAAGTGGTCACTGCTAGTCACCTCACCTAGTGTCACTGATGCGCTGAGCTCCATTCGCACTGCTCTCCACTCTGTCTCCTGCATGCACTGATGCTGACCCTTCTGTGCAGTGGTGTTGGTTTCCCCATCCATCCCTGTGTAGCCAGTCCATTCATTTCACACAAAACTCTGCTCAAATAACCATGTCACAAACCACTCATCTACAGCAGCTACACTGCTCCCCGAGACACTGTGACAGCTTCCTGTCTTAATTTTACCAACTGCATCAATTCTTTTACTAATTTACTGTCTGTCTCCAACATTAAAATATAACTCCGCAAGAACAGGAGATTACTAGCTTGAATGCTGCCTTCCCACTGCCTAGTAAATAACAGTCAACACATAATAAAAGAAGGTAAAAACACTAGGTGCCTAGAATTTGTACCAGTTAGCAGGCTGGCTAATGTAAGAGAGGAGAATGGCGATACTACCAGAGTACTTGTATTCACCTGCAGAATGTTCGAATATAATCTTGGTTGACTCTGATAAAACCAGCGCACTGCTGGAAGGATTTTGGACCTAATCCTTTCACTTTCTTCAGCTGCTCTCGGTTGATGAAGGGACCATTCTTCTCTCTCCATTCAATAATATTTTTGGCTCTGTTGGCATTCAGCCCTGCAATATGCCTAAAATAATAATAATAATAAAATAAAATGAGCGGATGAAAAAGAAAAGTCTCATCCACAAAGACAATGACATAAAACATGTGGACCATAAAAATCAAACATGACTACATATTGCTATTATGTCAAAAATAAATTAAACCAAAAAGCAGTTAAATTAAAAAAACAAAGAGAGCCAGCAAGATAGCTCAGCGGTCTAAAGCTTTGCACTTGCTTCGGCGAGTGCAGGACCAGGGTTCAATCCCTGGTCCTGCATGCCATGTAGGCCCTGCCCCTGGGGCAGGGCGTGCTGAGCTGCCAACTGAGTCTGGACATGGTGGCACAGACCTGTAATCCCAGTGCTGGCGAGGGTGAAAACAGGAGGATCACTAAGAGCCTGAGTTGCGCAGTGAGACCCTGCACCAACTACATAAATGGAAAAAAATAAAAAGGACAAAGTTAAAAGAACTGTCTATGAGGAAAGAAGGAAAAAAATACAAAACAATGACAAAACTAGTTGCTGTCAAACATGCTGATTAACAATGATGCAAGAAAAAAAACTAACCCTGTTTCTACACTACTGACATTCTTTTTATTTCTCAATCAGAAAGTAATGCTGCCTATTTTCATTTGCTTACAAAGGGACTTAGTGAATGCACAACAGCTATACTTGTGTACTACCTTTTCCATCTGCTTGTTTTCATTAAAGAGTTGAACTTAAAGAGCAGTATGTATGCGTGAATGTTAAGGTTAGAATAAAGCTATCAAAAATGATCATTGGCTTGATGTTAATTAAATGATTATTATTTCATAGACTCTTAAGTTATGAACTTGACGGTTCTTAAGTAGATTTATGTTTACTGTCCCATATTTGGAATAATGAAATGTTTATAGCTATGACCAAAAAGCAAACCCTATTTTCCACTACACCAGTTTTAGGGAAAAAGGTCCAGATTGGGAAATTTCCTGCTCCATCAGTAGATTTGTGTAAAAAAGGTAAGATTATGAACACAGAAAAAGCAGCTTTTCTATAACTACAGGGGAAAAAAAGACAAAGTACTGCACATAAGGTGCAGTTGTATGATGGAAATTTTGATAGGTGACTTGTAAAATCACAGTAAAAATGTGGTAACCATACCTTGAACTTTTAGAATTCCTATTTTGGTTATAGCCAGCTTTGACAGATGCATGCGAGACACCGAACTAGTGAAAAACACCTACTCTCATGTGGTGGGAACCAGTCCTTTTCCATGTTAACCTTATTTAAATTCTATTAGCGACACTAATGTAACTCAATGGTTACCATATGCTCTTCACTTTAGATTTGCAATATTAAAAATGATAATGTGGATTGTTACAATTCTTTCCTTAAACGATGTCTTCCTTTCTAAATGATTGTCTAAAGCAATATATAAACCCACAGATTTTCTACACTGGACAACTTTACACACATGTCCTCTTGTTCTGGTGAGTTTGAACTAGGCAGCCAGTTATTCAAGATTCTGTGATCTTCAGCCACAAATTTCTTGTCTCACCTTAACAAAACTTCTGAACAGATGTTAATATCAACTCCCACAAAGCTGACACATTCTTCTACAACACTGTCCAGTGTTGCCTTGAGTAAAGTCTGGGATACATCATGCTGAAAAGACAAAGATCAAGTATCAACCCAAAGTGAAGGAGATGCAGATTTGGGAGTCTTCCATTATTTTTCCTACACTACCAGTCGTTGGCTAAAGCACACCATGGTAAATTTCTTCATTTCTCTTAAACACACTGTAGCACATGTAACTGAGCTGAACTTAAGGAATCTGTGTTTTCCTATATTGGAAAGGTCCAGATTGGGAAATTTCCTGCTCCATCAGTAGATTTGTGTAAAAAAGGTAAGATTATGAACACAGAAAAAGCAGCTTTTCTATAACTACAGGGGAAAAAAAGACAAAGTACTGCACACTCCTATATTGACTTGAAGAGAATACCACGAGTATTTTTCGCCTGTCTGAAATTCTGCCTGGAGTAGCAATTCTTGAACTTTAGCCTACATTAAAATCACCTTTAAGGATTATTAAAACACATCCAAAGTTTTGATTCAGTATGTCTGGGGAAGAGCCTGAGCATGTACATTCTAACAGGTCCCCGAGCAGTATTATAGCTGCTGCACCACACTTTAAGACACGTGGGTCTCTATTATTCAAGCACTGCCTTGTGGTGCTATCACTACATCAGATGTTCTTAAGAGCACACCGAGGAGCCAGTACACTAACATATGCTGCACAGTAAATCAAACTACCCTGTTTAATCAAATTGAAGCTAATGTTGCACGTACTAAGCTCCATTATTTTACATACCACTAAAAAAAAAAAAGAAAAGAAAATATGCTGTCAAACTACCTCACAATGCTTTATTGCTTAGAAATGTTATGAATGTTAGGACCTTTCTAGACTTACTTAGAAAAAATTGAAATCATATACATAATAATCATAAGTCACCTAAGCTGATTGAGGCTGTCCTAAACTTCCCTCACATGTAGCATCTCACTGCTCTGGAGCACTCTAACACTTAAGAGGCATGGGGGTGGGTGTCAGGACTTTCTAGGTGGTGCTGTCTCTAGGGCTATGAAGACACATGGCCACATCTTAAAAGAAGCTATCAAAAGAAGATATTGGGGGCTACTATACAATTCCCAATCCTACCTGAAATGGTTTATTGTTCAATAACTGTCAACTAAAATAGAAAAGCATTTGTAGTGCAGTCACAACTTTAGGATTAACAACCAAGTCCACACAGAAAGTTCACTAAGATTTATCACAAGGTCAACAGCAATTATAGGACACTATAATTGTAAAATGCATCCTATTTCAGAGAAGTGAAAAGATAAGATGTGTCTTACAATGATGAAATACACTTTTTTTTTTTTGAAACACACTCTTTCAAAATAAATCTGATTTGCTACTTGAAGGTATGGTGCTATAATTAATACTGATGTTAGTCATAGTTCTAAAATTAATGATTTTCTACTTCATGTTCTCAGTCATGAACTGTAAGCCAGCAAACTTTTCCAAATTTCTCAAGGAAATAAGGCAGGCAATATAGTAGAGTCTGTGGAGGACCACCTGAGCAGCTCTCCTTGAAAGAAGAGTGACTGTCTCCATTTTGACTGAGCCTGACCCTATTTCCTTGTATCGTTACGTACAGAGCTGGCCAGGACTTCTGTTTATCCTTCAGTTGGCCTTAAGTAATGTATATTGGTCTAGCTGAAGTGCTGGTGATAGTCTTTGAAGGTGGCGTGTGTGCTTCCCTGGTAACCTACACCTGCTGCTCTTTAGTGTGAGTCGGGTCAAGACAGGACGGTAGAGCTAATGCTCCATGCCACCAGCTGGGATTGAGCCTCGAGATAGAGGCTATGACTTCCTGGGACCTGAAAGACTACATCAAAGCTGAAGCAGCAGACCCCCTAAAACATTAGATACTATCTCTATAGCATAAAGCAGATTACTTTCTCTGCATATCCTCTCTGCATATGGCAGAGGTAAATGCAGGCCACCCACCTGGCTCAGCTCACAGTCACCTACTTCCCACAATTCTTGGTCATTCCTCTTCAAGCCACTCCTCCACTAAATAAAACTGGGTGAGGCCCTGGGTCGCTCTCTTGGTTCTGGAAAGCCATTTTCATGGCTGAACTTAGGGCCTCTTGGCTCCCCAGTAATTATAAATATGTTTTAGTGTCTTTATTTTCACCATGGGTTGCATTGGGAGTGATAGATTGGAATGAACTTGATGGGATTCTAATAATGTAATTTTGGGATTACAAGTATTGGCTTCTTGGACTGAGATGAGGACCAGGAAGTGACTCCTAAAAGAGTCCTCAGTATGTGTCTGATTTCATTATTATCATTTAATGACGAAAGCGTTTGCTCTGAAAGACTGAGAGCACTGAAGTCCTTCTGTATTTCAGAGATAACTTCATTGGTGATTACCCAGGCTGCAGCTAAAGCCTTTGACTTGTGATATTCAACAAGTCAACATAATCATGATAAAGACTATGCAAAAAGTAAAGCCTCCAATCTCGGTAAGAACCTGATTAACTCCGAACTATAGCTTTTACAAAGTTGTGCTTTTCTGAGTAGAAGCAGAAGAGGGACCTTTAAAAACAATAGGATGACAATGTAAAGAAAAGCACAACAATGGTAATAAGAAGATATAGCTGAAGGAAAAGGCAAAGCTAAAAGCAAGTTGGAAAAAGAGAATACTTTTGAGTTTCTAAAATAAGGGGCAAACAACTCAATGTAATTCAGAGCACAGCAGGTGTTGAGGACAGCCAAGCAAATAAGCCATGGTCCTTGATGACGGTCCCTTGCTTACCTCTCCTTTCACCTCCCACCCACTCCTCCTCCTTCCAAACAGAAGCTTGACTGTTTCATGGATCTATACCACTGCTGTATAGCTGTGCTCTTTGCAGAAGATCACACATCTCAGTCGCTCTTCTCTAGTTGCTGGGATAAAATACCCGGCACATAAAATTAAGGAAGGAAAGGTTTATTTAGCTCACAGTTAGTTGAGGTTTTAGTCCACACTCAGCTGGCACCAAGCCAGACTGGCACATGGCAGAGGGCAGCAGTCCATGATGGTGGAAAACAGCAAATAGCAAAAGGAAAGAGTAGTAGGAACAAAATGGTCACAGAGACCAAGTCTGTCTCCCTTATGCTGCATTCAGGCTGTCCATCCCAGGTTGGATGTAGTGCTCACACCCATAATCCTAGCAGCACTTACACTCATAATCCCAGCACAGGATTATGAATTAATTGCAAACTCTACAAGTCCACCCCATCAGTGCATGAGGAGACTCTGGAAAGACTAGACACAAACTATAACATTCCATGCCTGACTCCTCAAAGACTCATGTATATCCCTTTGTAAAAAAAAAAAAAAGTCATTTTAGTCTATCTTTAAGAGATGTGAAAGTCCTAACAGTTTCAGCACTGCTGAAAGGTCCAAGTCCTAACTCTTAGCTGTGTGTCCCTCTACAAATGAATAGTTAAACACCTGAAATATTCAAAGGTACAAGATAAATATTACCATTCCAAAAGATACTCACAGCAGGATACTAAGCATTGGGACCAAAGCAAGTCCAAAATACAGAAAGGTGAACATTAAGTCCTATAGTTCCATGAGGAACATCTGAAGCAACCTGTGATGAGTTGTGAGCGCTAAAGGCTTTACAAGGCTCTACCTCTAAGGCACTTTTGGTGGTAGCTCCCATGGCTTCTCTCTTAAGCTGGCTTTGCTCCCTCCTTGCAATTTGCCTTTGATGATCTATGTTTCTGGATTTTCCAAACTTCTGGGGCTTCCACTGCACATTCAGCATCTCACTCTCAGCTTCACACACTTCCTCTCAAGGGCACACTGCCTAGTCTACAGGCCTTTTGAAATTGAGATGGAAGCCTTCTTAACCCCAGAATTCTTGCATTCTGCCTGCACCAAAAACCAAAGCCACATGGATGATGCCAAGGTCTGCTGCCAGCCGGAGCAATAGCCAGGCTTCCTTCTCTCTTGGCTGTAGGGGTCAAATGCCTGGATTGCTGAGCACTGTGAACCTGATTCTGAGGAACAAATTCTTTATGCCGGCACCATTCTGGAACAAGGTGTGGCCACCATAGCCATTCTGGAACATGGCGCTCTGCAGCTTTCTCTCCAAGGCAAAGTCGCTTACCATCGCAGTTCTGAAGCTGCAAAGGGCGGAGACCTGCCACCTCCTGTGATGCCCTCAGGCTATCTTTTCCATTCACTTATTTCTTCCTGGCAATGGAAATCCTCTCAGCTCTGTCTTTGCAGGCCAAAGCTTTATTGGCACTTTCTTTCTGGCCAAACTCACAACATTTTAAATCATCCTGCTGTGCTCTTCCCTCTTGATTCTCAACATAAATCTGACTAAAAGCCCCAACAATAGCCATGTTACTGCTTCAACATTCGATTGCCTTGAAATTTCATTTGCAAGATTAAGCAGTCTGTCATGCTTAATCTCAGTCTCAGGCAAAAATCTCTGGATGCGAGCAAAATGCAGACAAATTTTCTGCCAAGTCAATACACACACTGTCCAATGCAGTCTTTCTTCCCAGAAGAAACTTCCCCAGCCTGGTCTTTACAAGGAGGATTTTGTATCACCATTCTGGTCTTCTGAGCTCTGACCAGAATCTCTGTTCTAGTGTTTCTCTTGTAGGCGACATCTCAAAACACTTTCTATCTCTTCCCATAAATCATTCCCAAAGGCATATAACCCACACAGTCTGGCTTAGTCACAGCAGCAACCCCACTTCTCTGGTACTGAATTCTGTCTCAGTTACTCTTCTCTCTTTGCTGGGATAAAATACCTAACACCCAAAATTAAGGAAGGAAAGGTTTATTTAACTCACAGGTAGTGGAGGTTTCAATCCATACTCAGTTGGCTCCAAACCAAACTGGCACATGACAGAGGGTAGCAGCTCATGGTGGCAGAAAAGAACAAAACAGCCAAGAGCAAAAGGGAGGAGTAGCAGCAACAAAATGGCCACAGAGAGCAAGTCCATCTCCCTTATGTTGCATTCAAGCTACCTGCCCCAGGCTTGATATAGCACCCACACCCACAATCCCAGCAGCACTTACACT